GCATTCCACAAGGCAGTATCTACTGATGCAGATGTTTCCTCTTCAAAGGGAAACTTCCACCAGCAAAAACTTACAACAGCAAATCAGAGTTACATACATGCTATGGTCAAAGACTACAGTTAATGTTTAGATTTTTAAAAAAATTCCAGTAATAGACACATTGTCATTAATCTCCTCAAAATACTCTCTTGCTTCAAGCGTACCATCATTCTTGTTACTTTCTGAGGAACTTCTGAAAGTCCTGTTTTGTGTGTGTCTTTGCTTGCACTGTCATGGCTGCCTCAATTTCCTGAACTGACTCAAAATGTTCATGTTTCATGGTCATTTTGACCTTCGGGAAGAGTCAGAAGTCACACAGCAGTGCCACATCTGGTGAATAAGGTGGAAAAACCAGGGCTGGGGATTTAGCTCAGTGGCAAAAGCGCCTGCCTGACAAGCGCAAGGTCATGAGTTCGGTTCCCGGTACCGGAGAAAAACCAAAAAAAAAAAAAAAAAAAAAAAAAAAAAATTAGGTGGAAAAACCGCTATAATGTTTTTTTATTTGACAGAAATGGCTGTAAAAATTTCAAATTAATTCAGGACATGGAGGCAGCCATGAAAAGACATGAAAGAGTGTCAAGAACTGCTTCAGAAAGAGGCGAGAACAATAGGATAAGTGTATTCAGAGCAAGGAAGCAATGTGTCTTTTACTGTAATAAATATGTTTCTATGTAAACATGCACTGTAGTCTGGGATCACACCTTGTGCGATGTTCATTTGCCATAAAAAGATGTATTTTTAATTTCCTTCTTTTACTTTTGCCTTTTTATAGTGGACAAAAACCATCAGAGCAAACAATGCCAGGAATCATTTCCCGCACTGAGCCTTTCTATCTAGCCCTTCTAGCTTCCTCTAGCTCCTTTTATCAGCTGTCCGAATGCATTTGCACAGCGTTAGTTGCGTGTGACTTGGTGTCCCCCAAGTGCGACGAACCCTCCTGAGAAGAGGCTGGCATTTTATTTTTGTTCCTGCTGTGGCTGCCACCATACTGGGTCGAAGACAGGCATTTAGTGCAGCTGTGTGTGGTGACTCAGTGAGTGAGTGCTGGATTCTGAAGGGTGGGGTAGTGTGTGTCCCGAGGCACATTGTGGTGAAGTTGGAACTTGAACTCTGATATTTTCCTGCTTCTGATTTAGGCCTTTTTGGTTACCTGCCTCTTTGTTTCTTGAAGCCTATGCCAAGCAGTGGTGGGGCAGTGTGTGCACTGGTGTACAGTGCCCAGGCTCTCGGTGTGCTTGTGGCTGAGTCAGCAGCTGTAGGATTTGGTCCTACTGCAATGACAGGGAGGACAGTAAGACAGTCTCAGAACTCCTGGCAGTGTAGCTTTCCCATCTTCCTACGAGGGAGACTGGTTTCAGTGTCATCCTTGGGTAGAAGTCAGACTGAGATGATCTGTGGTTTCTGGTGTGTGGAGATGCCCAATGGCATGGTGGAAAGAGTCTCAGTAAGATGGCGGAATGGAGTCTCAGAAGTGTGCCCCACTTGCTACCTCACTTTTCAGGTTGCTCTCCCCTTTATCCTGCTGTTCCATCAGCCCCACTTTCTTTTCTTCAGAGGCAAACCAAGTCAAGCGCTCGACTCAGTAATCCACACCACTGCTCTGAGATTTCTCACACCACCTTGCAGCTCCAAACCCCACACTCCGTTGGACAGGAACCAGTTAGGAACAAAGACTGAAACTTCCAGATGAATGTGAAGTCTTGCTCTTCCTCTCTGCCTCTCTCTCTTGTTCTCTTCCTTCTTGCTCTCCCCCGCTGCACTTCCTTCCCTCCTCCTCCTCCCCTCGTTCTCTCCCATCCTTTCCTGGCCCCGCACCCCCCAAACCAATCCTCAAGGAAATGTAAATTTGAGTCTCTCCTCCATTTAGAAAGTAGCAGAGCTGGCAACTTGGCTTCCTAAAGGTGGTTGTATCTATCAAGGTTCAGCCAGAGAACAGAACTAGGAGATGCATAACAATACATTTATTAGAGGCATTGGCTTCTGTAATTGTAGGAGCTGGCTCAGTAAATCCAAGTTGAAACTGTAAGGCAGACTGTCAGGAAAGGTGGGCTGGGACTCTCAGATGTGGGGAGGCTCTGGCATCCACTGGAGGAAGGAAGGAAGTCTTCTGTAGGAAGCCTGGGCTCACCTTTTTAGAGCTTTGAGCTAACTGAATCAACTGTACCTGGGTTATCTGCGGTCATCTCCCTTACCTTAACCCAGCTGACTAGGGACTTTCGTACATCTGTAGAAGACCTTCCCAGCAACTGTTGGTTTAGTATTTGGTTGAATAGCTGAGTTCAAGTTGATGCAAAGAATTAGCCATTCAAGTGACCAGTTGGAGTCCTCATTTTGAGGACTTGTGAAAAACAAGCTTTGTCCCACCATAAATTCCCAAACCTCTGCAGCTTTACAATGAATTGTATAGACTTTTAAAAGGGCTGTTCCTGGCAGTCTATACTTAGATGAATGTGCTTGTGTATGTGTGTCGTTACTCATTGCGTGTAGCCATCTGTTTTGTAAACCATTGCGGGTCCAAAAAGAACCACTTAGATGAGGTAGAGGAGAGGGAGTCTGTGTACCTTGACCTAGAGATCATTATTTTTAAATTTGTGGTTCATGTTGTACTTTTTATCACATTACTTTTATTACCTTTCACAAATATTTCTCAGACCTCTGTGGTGTGCTGGGCTCTGTTTCAGGCCGGTGGGATATTTCACTGAATAAAACAACTTTGGCTCCTATGGTGCTTATATTTTTGTGGATCACACTAACATAAACAAGGCAACTGCAGAACTTTATAGTGGTGGTGAATGAGTGATAAGAGTGATGAGGCAGGAGAAAGGACTGGCGAGTGGCAAGTACATGTGTGTGCAGAGCTGCCTCCCCAGGTTTCAAAGGCCCTTGAAAAGTGAAAATCCACTGCCCCCTATTCCAAACCACAGGAAAAATTAGCTGCTAAGTGTTCCTAAGCAGAGCGTCTTTCCCTTTTTTATGAATCTCTTAAAGTGACAGCATTTTATTTTGATTATGATTTGCTATGCAATGCTGCTCAAAGTAAAGGCAAAAATTAAAAATTTAGATTATGAGCATGAATGCACTGTGCACCCTTATATTCTGTAGCATCCACGTTCAATGCCAAGGTTAGAATGCAGTCATTGGAATTGCCCAATTTGCATTTTCTAGTTCAGAGTGTGTTTGCTTTTCTCAGAACTGTGAAAATGCTGCCCCAAACCAGCTTGTCTGTATTCATTTCACTTCTTGACATATAAACATTCTAGCTCACCTGCACTTTTCTAATAATGAAGGGAGGAAGGCCTGAAAGAGCTGGCCCTGTGGCTGCTGCCTTTCCCTTTCCTCCTGTGGCATTCTCCCATGTACGTGGTTGCTTAATATGAGAAGAGAGAGTAATGAGATTAAGAAAAGATAGTGCGGGATTCTTTCATCACTCACATCTCTTAGACCTCAAATGACTTCCGTGCATTCTGAGAACCTTTTGGTTCCAAAGGCTGGCCTCTTGGGCTGTCACTGCACTCCCCGCCCTGGCCCCTTCGTCATAGGCTTAACATGCTTACCGTGTGCTCACTTTGGCCCTGGCTAAATTCCTAATTGTTGTGGGGCCCTCGGAATTCTGTGTCATCACAGATGCACGAGGATGGCAAGGGTGGGGGAGGCTCATACTGTGAATAGATTCTCCTCTGCTCGTAAGTGTGCTGCACGGTCTCGCTGGACTTCACATGCAAAACACAAGTTCAGAAACAAAGTGCGGAAGAATTTTAAGGTGGTCGTGACTTTAAACCAAAAGTGTTAAGCTAAGCTGGGAGCCTTTCTGAATGTGGGGTTCTCCTCAGCATAGGGTTGTGTGTGACTGCACTGCTTACATGGCCAAGAAATCAGGTGTGTGTGTGTGTGTGTGTGTGTGAATGTGTGTGTGTGTGTGAGTGTGTGTGTGTTGCTTTAGATAATATTGATAAGAAATGATGAGCTGACATTTGGTCATGGTCTTCATATTCAGAGGTCCCAAGGCCCATGTGTCTTTGACTTGTTCTCAGAAGACTAAGGGAGCCACTGTGGTGGGGTCAACAAATGAGCGAGTAAGGAGAGGGAGATGAAATCAGCACCAGGGAGATGTAGGTCCCCAGACTGTGTATGGCCTCAGTGGCCAAGGTAAGGACTTGGGATTTTTCTTTGAGGAAATGGGAAGATTTATAGAGTTTGAACAGAGACATTGCATGCCATAGTTGGAGTGCAAAAGGACCCCTCTGTCTTCCGTGTAGCATAGTATATAGGGACAAGTTTAAAATTGATGGGACTAGTTTGTGTGCTGTTATAACAGACCAAGGAACGACACAGCCTTGGCTGGGGCGGTGTGGATAGTAGTGATTAAATATGGCCAGCTTCAGGGCATATTTCAAGACTAGTGCCAGTAGAGTTGCATATAGAAAGGATATTTTCCTAGGACCCTGGCTCAAGACAATAGATAAAAATGGCCCAGTGGGAAGCAGTGAATTTTCTATGCTCACAGCTGGTGCATGAAAGAGCTGGGGTGGGCAGAGAATAGAAGCCTTGTGTACTTTTTCATCTGCTTCTGTAATAGCTAGACTTTCTCTAAAATAAGTTCCTATACCATCCTCTTCTGATGATCTTTACTGGTGTAGCTGAATCTGCATGGATTACATCTCTAGGAATTCATCTTTATGACACCTTAGAAAAGCTGCTCAAGTATAAGGTCCTGTGTGAGGTGACTCCACCATTAATCCACGTTTTCGTGGTCTTGCATAGGAATCAGCTGTTCCCACGGTTGCATTTTAGTATCATCGCAGTAGGGTTTTGCCTCCTCGATTTAATAAATGTCTCTTGGCCTCAACTCCTGAAACAGAGTTAATGAGACAAAGATTCTGCTGCTAAGTTTGATATACAGTTTGCACTCTGTACAAACACAAACGGTTTGACTACATTTGGCTTCTTTTTATGCTTTTCAGCACTTTCAGACCATGCTGAAGTCTAAATTGAATGTCCTCACACTGAAAAAGGAGCCTCTCCCAGCCGTCATCTTCCACGAGCCTGAGGCCATCGAGCTGTGCACCACCGCCCCTCTAATGAAGACAAGAGCTCACAGTGGCTGCAAGGTATGGGTGCATGGGGATCTAGGGGTCTCTGGATGGAACAGGCTAAGAACCTGGGGCCTTGACACCCTGGTTTCACAGATAGAAGACAGCTACCAAGGATGGTAGTATGAATACGTATCCGGGCTTATTCAATTTTAATAACACAAAGCTTTTCATAATTGTGGGGCACATGTTAGAAACATAGATTTTAGAGTGTCTGAATAAAATGATATTCTTTCCGTATTTTCCATAGTTTTATGGTACCTTGGGCTTCCTTGCTGATCATTCCTGCTTTTGTGTGTGCAATCTGAATAAAACATATTTTAAAGAATGAGAAAACTGAAAAGCAAAAAACCAGATTTTCCAACAGTTGTGTTTTCTAAGACCTTGGGGGTGATTTTGCGTTTTTTGCTTTGCTTTAGCTCTCAGAATTTATACTGATATTCACACCTCAGAGTCCATAAAATCCATTTTTCATTTATGTGAACTATAACACTGACGTGGAAGCAAAACTAGACACACATTGTATCATTTTGGTAAGCTTTTGGGTTTTTCTCATGTGCTCTTGTTTCTGCTTGAGCTGGTGAATATAGAAATCAGCTCAGAGATAACCAAGAAAAAAAGTTTTATGCCTATTTTGCCATCAGAAATTTACTTTGAGGGGTGAAAACCTAACAAGGGGCAAGGAAAATATATATGCACCTGTTGGTTTCTTCTAAACTGTGTAGACGCCCTCATGTCTCTATGCCTTATTTTGGGGGAAACAGTTCTGCATAGCTGTGGTCAGGTTGGAGGAGACATTAGACTTGCTGATGGTGGTATTCACAAGACCTCACACACATCCATTCATTCTACACACGTTTCCTGGTTGTTTGCTGTCTGCCAGGCACTGGGTACAGTGTGAGGAAGACTTGCATATCTTTATGATTCCATAAATCATACAGCTAGCTGAGAAACAGGAGGAGAACACCAGTTTGTGAAACATCTTTCTGATCAGAAGAACAGGGGTGCTAATGTGGGAATATTGTTGGTATGTCTGGAATGGAAAGGAACATGCCAGGGTACCTGAGCTTCTCAGAAAGTAGTGAAAGGTGGGATTCCATGGGGAAGCCTTAAGGTCTTGGCCAGTAGTTCTAATTATAATGAGCATTTAGGCAAATAGGACTCCATTTAAAATGGAATTTCTAATGGTAACTCTGGTCAGGGTAAACTGGTAGCTCAGCTTCCCCGAGGAGTCGCCAGTGGCATTAACTGGACATTGTGAATGAATGCACAGACTGACCTTAGGTATATTGTATTTAGTGCTCTTGGTGAGTTAAGGACATAAAGGAATTAAACAACTACTCAATGCATTTGATACAATTCACTGTACATCTTTTGGAGGATTTAGTAATATCATTTTGAATTTTGGTCCTATCAGAGAAGATCGTGTCTCAGCACAAGAGGAAATTAGTAAGGACAAGCACAGAGAAGAGACTTTAATTTAACAAACTCTGCAAACTACTTTTAAAATGGGAAGGAAACTTTTTAAAAAGGTCACAAAATAAAAGGAGTTACAGATCCAACCTACACATGAAAAGTGTGTGTGTGTGTGTGTGTGTGTGTGTGTGTGTGTGCATGTGCACCTGTGTGTAAGGAGAGAGAAATATTTACTTGGGGAATAAAAACTATCATTTTTCTGCAAAAAGTATAAAATTCAAGATTCATGCGCTACTTTCTTCTGCACACTGTCTCAGGCCATGTTCACTTATTTTCCTTCTCAGAGGAAAACCAGAGTAGGAATTCAGGGAAGCATGCCAGAGAGGAGCAGGGCTCGGAGACAGGGAAGTCCGTGGTGGTTTCAGTTGGACACAGGGAAGAGCTTCTGTATTCAAGGTGAAAAACACATTCTGCTGGGCTATAAAAAAATTATTACTGCTCCATCCCTAGAAATTGTGAAGAGAAGATTCCAGGCATAAATAATCATAACCTGGAGTCGGGTATCCAAGCCAACATCCCTTGAGGTCTTTTCCAGAATATTCTTTCTGTCTGAAGAGGAAAACATTCTCTGTGCAGTTCGTCAGATTATACACTATCAACTTCATGCCTTTGCTTTTTAACAGCGCATGTGCCTGAGTTCTATTCTTTAATTTTCAAGGGCTATGTAACATTTATGTTCAAAGTCATATTCTTGTGTTTAAAAAAAAAGATTAGATGTTAGAACCTTGAAATTTCTGTGTGCAATCTTCACACCCCCACCATCTTTGAGTAAAAAGTCCAGTGTTTGCGCTGTGGTTCTTGCTAGCGAGTTACTCAGCTTACAGGATGCCAGCTGCAGAACGGACCCCATCTCAGACTCACGTGTCCCAGGAATAATGAGCACAATGTAGCCCGGGCCCAGCTGCAGGGCCAGCATTTGGGACTCCCCACGTTTATACAGAATTTGTCCTTTTCATCCGAAAGCTTCTCCAGTTGTGCTCCCATAACTGGATTTGGGGAGAAAAAGAGGCAGGAAGAAGGGAAGGAAAGGGGAGTTGCGGGCAGCGCGGCTGAGACCCTCACTCATCTCAGATTGCTCGCTTCCCTCTGATCTGTATTCGCAGTGAGTTCTGACAGGATTGCATTGCCAGCCTATTCATGTTTCGGGCAGCTGGGTCTTTGTGTGTTCTCTGCTATTGCTGCCACTTTTTTCCCCTCTGGAGTGGAGTTATTTACCCACAAAACCCAGTGCATTGCATTAGGACTCTTATTGGAGTTGTTTTGAGAATTACATGCTATGTAGGATTTTACAGCAGCAATACCTGATCACACCTGTCTCCTCCTCCCCAGCACTGTGGACTTTGAGGCGCTTTCACCTTTCTAGTAAACAGTTACTGAATTAATGTTCATTGGAAACCTTCTGCATGTATGGGATCGTGGAGCAAGGGATCAAAGTAGGTGTGGTGGGTGATGCGATGCATAGCCAAGTAGGAGTAGGTAACTGACCAAATAAATGACAAATACTGGTGAAACCTTGTGTGTATTCGAATCCCCTGGCAGGCTACTACCTGGTCCATCTTTCTAGAGTCTTTGAGTCGGGCTTCAGCTTATTGGTGGGGTTCGGGATCATGCGCTTTCAAATAGACTATGCAATTTACGCGAAATGGATGAGGCTTGGAACCCGAAGACCTGAACCACAGAGCAGTGTGTGATAAGTATAATATAAATGACAGGAAAGGATATAGACCTTGGGAGGCGGGAGTTTGGGGGAAAGTTGTACTTGAAGGTTGGAGGGATTTGTATGGTCAGAATGGATTTGCCACAGCAGACCGGAGGCTGACTTCTAGGAGTCAATGGGACTCTGCTCCACAATTACTGCTCCAGAGTTGTGCTATGTGAGGGTCACTTCATCCTCCAGGGGGCGCTGTACTGCTCGGCGCTGACTCCTATTCCCCCGAGTCTTATACTATAACACAGGTGTAGTGATGAAAAGCACGTCACACGTGCCTGAAAAAAATTTTCTTAATAAATGAGTGCTCTTTTGTTAAAGAGAGATAGAGAGAAAGAGAGAAACGGAGAGAGAGAAATCCAGTAGTGATTCTAGAGAACTTATATTTACTAATACATTAAGCACTCTTCTTGCATCTATGGGATTTTCACGCCATAGGACTAGTTGATCCTCAGTTTGACCCGATGATGTCAGAGCCATGTGTAGCCCCATATCACAGAGGACACAGCTGGAGCATAGACAGTTTCTCAGCCTGTCTCAGGACACCCAGTGGGTAACCGCTGGAGTCCCATGTGACTCTCTGCAGTCCTCCCTGCAACCTGTGCTCCAGCAGATTTTATGGCCTCTCTAGGACCAGCCAGTGGTTTCCATGGCTCTTCACAGATCTCTTTTGCACAGATGTGATTATTTGTGTCATGAGAATTTGAACAAGTTGTTTCTTTGCTACAGACCTCAGTTTCTATACCCCGTATAGGGACAGAGCTTGTGTATCTCATGTACATTTTTACATTTTAAATCTTTCAATGAATTATGATTTTAATTGTACAAATTTATGGGGTATGGTGTGGTAATTGGATGCATGAATACACTGTGTCATGATCAAATCAGGGGCAGTTAACATTTCCTTGTCTTTACACGTTTAGAAACATTTTGTATTAACATGATTGTTGGTATTTATGCAGTAGAGAGTGATGTTTCAATACCTGCTGACAATATGTACTGATCAAATCAGGTTACTTAATTATTTTAATACCCTTATCATTACTTTGTGTTTGGAGTCTCTGAGATCCTCTCTAATATCTTTTAATAAAATATTTAGTAGGTTAGCTGGGAATGTGAGCACACACCTGTAATCCCAACATACTGGGAAACTGAGATAGGAGGATCATAAATTTGAATCCAGCCTGGGTGACTTAGCAATTCAGTGAGATCCCATTTTAAAAAAAAACTGAAAGAGGGCTGGGGATGTAGTTTAGTGTGAAGACTCTCAATATGATCTCCAGTACCATAAAAAATTAATGGGCTACTGTGAATTCTAGTCACTATTCTCTCAGAACACTGGAATATATTTCTTCTAACTGTTTAGGTAACTGTTGTCCAACTCCCCACTATGCTCTCTTATGCCCAGCCTTCTAACCTTCTAGGAATCAACATTATATGTTCCAGTCAACTTTAACATTTACAAGTAAGAGAGATCATGTGGTACTGTCTTTGTATTTCTGATTATTTCACTTAACATCCAGTTCCATCCATGCTGCTGTAAAGGGTAGGATATCCTTATTTTTATGACTGAATAATATTCCATTGTGGACATAGACCATATTTTCTTGATCTATCCATCCTTTGATGGATATCTTACATAATAACTATTGTGACTGGTGTGGCAACAAAACATTGTCATACTGGTGTCATTTCCTTTGGATATGCACCCTGGCTTGGTAACTTTTTTCTTGCTGCTGAGACAAAATACCCAACACCAAAATTAAGGAAGGAAAGGTTTATTTAGCTTACAGTGTGTGGAGGTTTCAGTTTATAATTAACCAGCTCCAAAGCA